CAGCGTTTTTCTAGCAGTCCATTCGCTAACATTCTTGATTATAGCCAAAGAAGCATCCTTTAGTGTTAGGAGCTTGGTACTTCTCATTTCAGACATTTTTTATTGAAAAATGTGCTTATTCCGAAAAAGAAATGGTTTTTCAATAAGATAGGGATCCGAAGCACTCTTCGAAAATTGTTAAGGAATGGCTTGGAAGGGAACCTTAGAAATTAAATGAAACCCCGGAACAAAGTCCCGACCTCAATCCGATTGAAAATCTTTGGTCAATCATGAAAAGACGGCTCATGCAGTACGAAACAGGTCCATCAAACAGGGGCAACCTTTGGGAGCGTGTTGTAGCTGAATGGATACGCTTTCCTAAAGATATATGAGAAATTTTGGTAGATAACATGCCTGGCCGCGTACAGGAAGTCGTATCAAATAAATTTCTTTGGACAAAATATTAATATTATTTTGGAAATTAAAACTCTTTGAAACGTGCAAAATTGAGTTTATGTGGGTTTTTTTCGTTTTTTATTTATCTCTCCTCGATTTCATCTTTATCATCATTGTTTTTGCTTAGAATTTATTAGGAATTAAATAATTAATAGAAAACAAAAAAAATTTTTGGATTTGGTTGTGTGAATATGAATTTATGGGTGACGAAAGTCTGAGTCGTGAACATACACTCAATTTTGCTCGCCACTGTACGTGATGCTGCTTAAATCGATCACTTTCGCCTGAACCAGGTCATTCAGCCGTCCCGGAGTGCAGATGATGATCTCAGCTCCGCGTTCCACGACCGAGATTTGCTTGCGGCGATCGCCTCCGCCGTAAATACACACTGATGTCATGCCACGGAACGGGTATTTCTTGACCTCCATTTCGATCTGTAGAGCCAGCTCTCGAGTAGGCGCCAGGATAAGGACGTTGGGGCCACCCCTCTGTCCTCTTGGAATACTTTGATACTCAGTGTGTATCATCCCGGGTAGCAGGAATGCCAAGGTCTTGCCAGTTCCCGTTTGGGCTATCCCAATCATATCGTGACCTTTTAGGAGAATGGGCCACGCTTGAGCCTGAATGGGCGATGGTTTGGAGAATCCCTGTTTCATGATCTCGTTCAGCAGGTCCGGGTACTTTGCGAAGCATTGCTCAAACTTCCAAACTGGATTGGGTATAGGAGCCAAAGTTTCCCCATCTTTTGCCCCAAAAACATGCGACACCGTAGTCCCGTTGTTCTGCTTCCGTATTTTTTCTGCCTTGGATGGGCTTAAATTAGCCACTTCGGGTGATTCCTCGTAAAAGTCCTTAGTTAGAGGAGGACACTTTGCCCAACGAGCTGCAGCAGCTTTTTCCGAAGCTTTGTTTAGAGCATCCCAGTCAATGAGGCCCGTAAGATCACCAGGTTGGGGTGTGTCCACCTTGGGCGGAGGTGCAAAATCATAATTATTTCCAACGAAAGGCTTTCTAGATCCGCCATCGCGACGACCGCCATCATCACGATCACGACCCCTTCCGGAATCGGAGACTTGTTTTCGTACCACATTCATTGCATCGCTAACGTTCCTTTGGAGCCTTCCGTAGACTTTAACCACTAGGTCATCCGTGTCCACCTTGACGCGGACATTGAAATCATTCTGTATCCGTTTGATGTTGTCGCCGGCCCGTCCGATAACCTTTCCAATCATTTCGGGGGCAATAGAGAGCGTCTCACTGAAGTCATTTAACTCGAAGTTGCTACGACGTGCTCCACTTCCGCCGTAATCACCACGGTGGCTCTTCCCGTAGAATTGTCTGCCTGCATCTTGATATCTACGAGGCTCATTATCACGCCGCATGCTTCTTTCATACTTTTTATTCATCTGGGCAGAATCTCGGGGCTTTACGGGTCCTTCAACATAGTTCGGATCGTCCCAATCGAGGTCGCTCATTGCAGATTCAAAGCAACGTATTATTTTAATGAAATTCGTTAGACTAACAAGACGCACGTGGGAAATTCTGAGTTTGCAGTTCCTTTGACAACTTTGACAACGCTTTTTGAGACCAGGGGTGACCGATAGCGAGACCGATACTATCGATTTTTCCAAACAATCGGCACAGTCGAGGTTTTCTTCGATGTTGGGACCAATCATTGTTTTTTCTAATTCATCTGATATAGGTGACAGCAAACTGATAAGCTTTTATATCTAAGTATTTGATTGATTGATTGATCGCTTCTTTGCAAAGGAGACCAACGTATCAAGCATTTTGATTTTAAAGCGAGCCAAAATTAATAAGATTTAAAATATTTTTGTTTTTTTAAACAAGGTGCGTTATTGGTTCCATGAAATAAGATTCAAACGGGGAGGCCAAATAATTCTTCCACAGTTACCAACAGGAAGTAACTTAATATAAGAAAAAAAGGAAAGCTAACTTGAAAAACCTTAAAACAGTTAAAACCTGTTACATATCGCAAACAAAGGTAATTGTTGGCCGATCCTTATGAGAATATCATAGTAAATCCAACTTATTACAATACAAATTGTAACTAAAGGCCCAAGCTTTTATCTTGGAAATACTAAAGTTGGTATTTTTACCAAATACCAAATAGCACTTCCGATCATTCAGTTGTATGTCAGCTATAAGATATAGTCGGCCGATCGTTATGAAATTTGGTGGGATCAACTGACCATAAATATAATTTGGACGAAGTTTCAACCATATATCTTCAAAAACACAAAAGTTGCGAAAGTTTCCGCCCAAAGTTAGCTTTCCTTTTTTGTTTTTATATCGATATTATTAACATTCAAAAAAGAGTGTTGTTAAGCGTGGGCGCAAATGCAGCTGGGAAATTTTCTTCGAGCGTCGGTTCTTAAATTCTTTTCCAATTGGACCGCACACCCAAAAGGAAGTTTAAAACAGTGTCGTGTCCCAAGTACATGTATAGTAACCCCGTACCCACGAAGTGAGCTCACCTACCCACAGACGATCGCTGTAATTTTTCGGTGTTGCGTGCAGTTTGTGCACGTAAGGATGTTAAGTTACCCCTGCGCTGTTTACCTAGTGTCTTGTTTTAGATTGCAAAAGGGAGACGCTATTGTCGATTTATTACTGGCCCAGGTTGGGGATATTGTACACAAGCATTCTTCTGCGAACAAGCTTTGGCCAAGAGACATATTGTTAGATAGGTTTTAGGTCTGAGCCTAAAATGAACCCGGGGCAGTGGTATTAATATTTCTGTGAATTTTAAATAGGGTCCCATGAGGGAAAGAGTGCAGAAAAACATTCTATGTAGAGCCTGGCGGACCCCACAAGAACGTAAACAAAGCGGCCGAAAAGTCGAAATACCATGAGGACGTAAATTTGTTTAATTAATTCAATTGTGCGTGAAAGTAACGTGAAAATAACGGCGGAGACGGAGAAAAGCTGCGCCGCCATTTCTTTTGTTGGCTTGGGTCATGCACCTCACCGTGAAAGTTCGTGTACAAACTCACTTTCACTTGCTAAACTTTTTATTAAAAATTTCAAAAGGATTTTATCTATTTTTATCTATTTAATGTATTCAAAATTGTGTAAATAATATAATTAATTGTATGATATTATAAAGGCCGGCTTTGATTAAATAATATGCAAATCGGGACTTTTGTGACTAAAAACAACTATATAGAGAAAAGCCTTTTATTTTACATTCTCGAATATAATAGAGATCGATATCAAGAATTGTAGGCCTAAAGTTATCCTAAAGAGTTATCATGTATCGTATAGTCACCCTTTTTTATTTTAGAATTGGTATGTTAAAAACATCCAATTTTATTTTAATTGCAACTGTTTGACACGGTTTGAATAATTTTTACTAGTTTAAAAGCCCAATGAATCCAATTTGAAGGGTATCAGCAGTAATGATACGAATTCACACCGACAATGACTGTTATTTTGTTGGACGAGTGTTGGAATAAGCTCGGAATGTATTACCATTCTCGTCGAGGGTCTTCCCCCGCAATCAGACGTTCATCGCCATCACGTAAATGACAAAGTATTCTCAACTTTGACATTGACATGTAAGCAGGTTGAACAAAGGCCATTAAATTAATCGTGTGCCTGGCTTTCGATCTGAAGGAAACTCAAACGACCTAAGAGTCACAAGTGTTCTCAAACCCTCTGGCTAATTAGTGCCTCCCTGTGCATGTCTCACTTATCTGGATGGGTATTATTCACGTATTCACAACATATACTAATTCTAGGTTGGCTTGTTCCTCTCCCCGGGGTGCAGTCTTCCGTGATCTCATCTTTCGGTGTCCCACTGTGACTCACTTATTTTGACACTCGCTCTTATTAACAGGTGTTTGTTCAAATTTGTTTATTTTCGTTTTCGTTTCTTGGGTGTTTTTTTCAGTAGGAGGAAGAGGCCCAATTAGGTGGGCGTGGCTGCCTCGGTTAAACATATCCAATTGTGTGAGGGCGGGGTAAGGTACAAGTCATCACTGTTAGTCATCTAACTGCGCAGCTGCAAGCGAGTCATTAATTGGATTTTAAAAACTCACATGCTGCTAATTATGCTAATTTTGGGTTTACAAGATTAGGTTGTTCTTAAAAAAGAAATTCGAGAACATTTTTGTTAAAAGTAGGTAGAGAATTGTAGAAAAATGCCAAAAAAATATGACGTGATTGAATTTATATAATTAAACCAGTAAATATAATATGGTAAATAATAAAACTAAATCAAAACTAGATGGAAATTATACAAAAATCTGGAATTCCATTTTTAAAAAAACACTATTCATTATTAGACTTAATTTGGAGTAATTGAATAAATTATTTTTAAGAGCAGTTTTAAAATAAACTGGGTTCTTTTAATGTACCTTAAAATTGTTTAACATGTATGTAATACTATGTATGATTGTTGTTATTACTGAAATAAGATAAGAAAAAACGATCATGGCCCTTGTAACTTCAATAACAAACTAATCAAAATCCCCTCTAATGATGAGATTTCAAGCCGCAATTTCAAGTCGATCAAAAAGAAAAAAAATACATTGTTAAGATTTTCAGTTGTTTTTTCTGTTTTAATAAAAAGTTCACACATATTTAGGTAATTTACATAAATTAAGCTTAGTAGTAAGAGCTACAAAAAAAAAAAAAACAATTTCCCGCGATAGAACCGCATCAAAGTCTCCTCGCTGCCAAGAAACCGAGGGTCAAGGCCAAGGTCACTGAGAGGGCTGTGCCACCCATTCCTGTTGCCGTGTTTCGATACCCGTAGACTCCGCCCGGGTAGTTGGGATCCCTGACACCCATGTAGCCCTGCTGGCCCTGGCCACCATAGGAGAACGGACGTCCGTGCTCGTCCGTGCCGCCTACGTAGTAGGCTCCGTTGCCGCCCGCTCCGCCATAGCTTCCCCGGGAATCGATGCCAGCGTAGCCGTAACTGTACTGCGGGTCGTGGCTGCCAAGGCTACCCGGGGGCTGCATTCCGCCGGACTGGGCATTTGACCAGGCTCCTACTCCGGCCGTGTTTCCATTATTCCAGTGCACTGTTCCCGCTTGTCCAACAACTGTTTCAAAATAAATATATTTATATTATAAAAATTAATTTGATAATTAAAAATTAAATAAGAAGAGGAAAATTCCTAAGGAACTCAAACCAATTCTATAAATTTCTGTTTTCGAGTTTCTTTTATTTGCTTTTCAGTTAAAAAATATTATTTTTTATATTTAAGAAGAATATTCAGTTTTCTTTGTTGTATTCTCTATTGTAACACACGTTATCATTTCAAGAATTCTGTATAGTACTTTAGAAAACTCATAAATCAATAAATTAATAGATATTCTTTATATAGAGTATTTTCTCAGAATATGATCTTCCATGATCTTAAATATTTAGAGTTCTTGAAAAGGTTTTATTTTATATTTTGGAATCCACATTGTAATAGAGATTTTTAAAAGCACTCTATAAAGTAAACATAAAAAAAAGAAAAGAACTCGAGAATTTTTTTGATAGCCATAGTTTTAGTTTTGCTTAAAAGTTCAAACAAGGTTCTTAATGTAAGGTGTTGTTTACAACATTATCATGGTTTGTCTTGCCACTGTTGCAGGGCTTCCTTTTGTGTTTTTGTTTGTATTTTAAATCGGCTTCTAGTTTAAGCCGACTTTTTTATGTAATCCGTTGCAGCTTGCTTCCAGTTTGCTTGAGAACTTCCCACCCGAGCGTTATGTAAGCTTTTCCCAAGCAATTGCACGTAATCTGTGTTATTTTCAGCGCGTGTTTTCGATTTCGAAACCGATTTTACACTCACCCGCACTGAATTTGGCGATTATCAGGCAAATCAAGAGGCTGCCGCCCAGATACCAATTCGAACTCGACATGTTTACCGCTCTACCGCTCGACTTCAACTAAACCGAAGCGGTATTGCCGGCTACGGTTTTAAACTGGTTTTTTTTGTTCCCAGGCCCAGCTAACTGCCAACAACAACCATTGCTGAAAAGTGTTATAATTGTTGTTGTTTTTGTTGCTGTTGTTATTGGTGGTAAACACCGAGTCATTTGTTATTTTTGTTGTTGAGTTTAATTGTTTACTCGTTTAATTTGAAAGATTTGCCAGAAAGTTAAAACGGGTACACATGTTTCAGGAAGTCTTTTGTTTTTGAAGTTTAAATAGTAATCTAAGGGCATTTATTTAAAAAATAGTTTATATACAAAAGTTATTAAAATTTGTATTGAAATTTAAATTTTATTTGAATTATTTATAGTTAAGGCTTCAGTGGAAAATTCCGAATTTATTATATATTACTCTCATAATGAGATAAAGTAGTAAATATCAATCTATTCTTTAATGTGAGAAAGGGCATGGAAGTAAAAAAAATCTTTCTTGTTTAACAAAGATTATACTTATACGAAAAAAAATTAAAAAATTTGTCATAATTTAATCTTTTTTTTTAATTATTCCGTTGTTTTCACACTAGCTAAGTTATATAATACTTTGTACGATTGTTATACTCAACGTTATTGCCAAATATTCCATTCTCAATATACAGATGAAACAAATCAAAACAAAATCTATATTTTTTGTAGCATACATAGCAAATTAATCATTTAATATATAAAGCCTTTAGCTAGAAAGCAAAAAATTATCCTTTAAATCTTTAAAAACTCTCAAAAAACAGACCAACAATTTTATATTAACTAAAGAAGAAAGGGTATTCCAAAGTCACTGGTGCTCTCATTTTTGATGAAATCCTGTAGAATTGCGACTGTATAATTTATTTTCAAATACAGAACACGCAAATTGTTGCAATGTGTAATATTGATGCGGTTAAGCGTTTAGCTCGCGACGTGAGAATCTTGACGTGATTTTTTCTAGTAGCGTTTTGTTTTAATTTTTTGTTCCGCCAAAGAACACATTAATTTGAGTTAACTCATTAATGAAAAAGCACGACACGGCACCAGGGTCATCCAAGGGTTAAGGGGTTGTTTCAACTTAGTTTTCAAGCTCTTCTTTGAAGATCATCCGAATTGCATTCAAGTCTTATTTTCTCTCTTACACAGACGATGTTTTCCAATCGGTTAACACCTTTCAGATAGCCGCACAATGAGTGATCATTGTGGCCTAAAAGTTGGCACAGAAAACTGGCTAAGAGAAGCTCCAAAACACAAACACTGGGTCAGTGCAAACTATTTACTTTCTCGCATTATTTTCGGCCCAGCAACTACTTTGTGACGTAATTTGAATGTAGGTCGAGTGATATGGTAATACCCGCGGAATGTCTCGAACATTTTCTATTTTTATTTTGCATTTGCATGAGCAAAATAGTTTTAAATAGTGTAGTGCATTTTTCATTTATGTATATTTAGGTTTGGTGCCTTTATTTGTAGGACTTTTTCCAAACCTTTGAAGCGAAACGTTCAGAGTCTTGTTTTTGATAAGGTTGGGCGAAAAAATATGTCACCTCTATGCTTAAAAAAAAAATAAAGAAAACTGGGAGTGTTTCAGTTTCGAAAAAAGACAAAAGTAGTTGATAAGACAAAAGTGTTTGGAAAAATTGGGAGTTCATTGTCGCTTTAGACAATATGTGACTTAATAAGCTAAAGAAACTTTTAAGGAATTGTATTGAATGCTTACGGAACCTTTTTTTTTTATTAAATTATTAATGAAGCTACATAATTCCGTCTTATAAAATTACACATGTCTCGCGGAATCCAAGATATACAAAATAAAAAAATAATTCAAAAGTGCACGAGTGAACTGACGACCTTAAGATTATGAGACTTACGCGCTGCCAACTGCGCCACCGAGGCTATGGAATCGTCTGCGTCTGATGCCTGCTAAAGCTTAATTAGCGAGGATCTCCCAATTTTTATGCAGAGTGTTTTTCAACTTTTTTTCTATTTCAGGTCCAAGGGTTGGAAGCTTAGAATACATTATTGAAGCACGAAGAGCTATGATTTCTAGCATACCAAGTACATTTGAGACTCAACTGAACTAGGAGGCGACCGAGAAAAAGGAGGAGCGAGCCACCTCTCTTGGGAAAAAGCTTAATTGAGATATGAACAAGTACGAAAAGGGCATATGGAACACAGTCTCCCATGACTGTTGATTTTATTGTATGGATAATATAGATATTTTATGAAGAAATATTTTATTGATATTGTTTGGTCATTAATACTTTTCAATGCAGAGAAACAAAAAAGCAGAATTTAACCATTGCTCGTTATAATTTATTTATTTTGCAGGCAGATAAAACTGGGGTCAACAATTGTGATCATCCAGTTTATGGTGCTAAGCAGTGACTAATAATATGGACAGAGAGTGCGGTCCGACTAGACATACGCGAAGCTAAAGCTCTCGATAGCGAAGAGGGGGGCCCGACATAGTGATTGCGAGCTCTCTCAAAAATAGGCCCGTTGAAGTCGAGCGGCCGATAAAGAGTCGGCTTGCAACCAACTAAGGCGATATATCCATACGTTAGCTTAATATGTAAATAAACTATAACTTATACAGCGGCTGCTGCCTGACCCGACAGATATACTGATAGACTATTTAAGTCTAGAAAAAACAAATTGTTTTTCATATATTTATAGTTTTTATGTATGTATACATTTAAAAGAATATTTAAATTTAACCTTTTAAGAAAATCTTCCTAAAAGGATCGTTCTGTGAAATATACCGGTTAAGCGGACTTTACAAGCGTTTTTCTCCAAATCGTAGTTGTTTTTCTCAATCGAATAAAAAAAAATCAATAAATATTTAAAATTTTAATATTTTTAAATAAAATAAACAATTTATGATAATTAGATTTTTGTTTAAATTTGTTTTCCATTGGAATGGTTAAATGGGTCAAGCGCTTTAGTACTACAGTATCTAATTCCATTAAAAAACTAGTTATTTTTCCAACATATTTTGAATATTCCTTATATATAAATAAAAACATTGAACCAAAATGGGTAATAATAACATTAAAAGCTCTTTGTTATACGCTTATATGAATTATTAAAATGCACCATAGTCGGGCCTCAACACTAAAGACCGCCAGAAGTTAGATTATTTGAATAACTTCCATGCAAAACCGATAAAAATTCGCATAGATTTTAAGCTACTACCACTCTGGCAACATGGCGATTAGTACAGTGCTGCCACCTAATCAAAAGAGTCCTGCGCAGAAGGGCCTGAAGTGCCGAGCAATGTCAACCCTGGAATTGCCACCCCCAAGGAATACATCAACTAAGGGCTCGATTGTCTAGCCCCCCTATCACGCTCAGTTTATTGCTCTCTTCGAGAGTGTGTTCGTGTGTGTTTGTGTGTTCTTGGAGCTCTACTACGAGTGTAGTGTGTTATGATTTTTGGTCCAACCACCCGGGGAACTCGCAGATGGGAGAGGAAAAGCTAGTTGGAGTGCGATTGCCACTGATGCTGGAACTGGTCCCCGTCTCAGTGGCTCCGTTCGGTAAACCTATCCGAATCTCCGTCTGAGAACTTGAATCAGAAATAAAAAGAGGAAGCCAGCTAAAGAGCTGGTCCCAACCAAACGGTTTGTTTGTCCACCACTTCTGTTAACAAAATGCAGAACGAAACAAAGCAGTGACAGCAAGTGCGACCAGCTAAGAGAAGAAATTACCAAAGACGAAAAGAAAATAAATTAAAAGTGAAACTATTCGACGGAAGCAGGAGATTGAAAGGTAACGGAAACTGAAGCGGAAACGGAAAGCGGTCGCAGGCAGTTGGAAAAATAGCATTGCATTCTTTTGGGCGCACAAAGAAAATGAGCGCAAAGGTAGGCCAAGAGCATGTCTCTCTCCATGTTTGTGTGCCCCTTGTGTGTGTTGGCCGTTGTGCGTTGCGTGTATGTGTGATATCAACAATACCAGCTATGCGAGCCCCCAGAATTGAGTCAAAATTTTTTCCATGTGTAAATGCAACATAGCAACCACTCCCACTACGCCCGCCCGCCACCTAACGCCCCCCCATTTGTTATGGCCCTTGGTATACATAAATTGCAAGTGTCTAGAACTATAAATTAAGTTGGAGGACCTCCCGCCGATACTTGATTGACAACATATGTATGTTATACTTTTTTTGTATATTATGTACACTGGCCAAGTTAGTGGGTAATTGGTTTCGTCTGTCAACAGGGGTTGCATTATGAGGCAACATTGCCTTGAGAATTCCTTCTTGTCCTGCTTGCTTAAGGAATGATTGTATATTTATTTGTCAGATAAAATTTAAGTCATTTTAGATTTTATTTTTAAGCTCTACAAAGAGTTGTTTAAAGTTTGTAAAAATTGTACTTTATTGTGTGTTTTAAAAGTAAAACTTTATTTCTTGCTCCCCAAGTATTTCCTTTTTTATTCTTTATATTTTTTACCCCAGAAGTACTGCTTTTAATATTTTTAAGCTTTAAGAAACTTTTCCAACCAACCTTCCATGATCTTTAAACCTGAAGCCAAAGACTTTCGCTTTCCATGTTAAGGCAAAAATTAGACCCTTTCGTATGTACTCCCTTACTGATGTACTTATGAAGTCCAAACCCATGCCTATGTTCCAATTGAACGTCTGTTTGCATTCAACAATCCGCGAAATGTCATTCGGTGTCTGTGGGATAGTGGGCAGATGGTGTGGCGTGGGTGTGTGTTTACATTCAGCTGGAAATCGCTTTTGGCAAAAGCAAAATAAATAGACCGGCACAAAGGACGCAACCCGAAATTAATATCGAAAATAAGGCGCAAAAAAGAAAATTCCGAAACAAACTGCGCAACAGTTTTCACTTCAGCTGCAAAACCCAGAGCCCCCCAAAACCCCCCCAAAAAATTGAGCCTTTGCGCCCCGTGGATCGGATTGGCCATTTTGGTGGCATTGATGGTGATAAATGGAATGCTGACGAATTGTAAGCCAATACATCGCAAATAGGGTACAGTGAGTAGTGCCTATGGCGGATCTGCAGGAGGGAAGGAAAGATTAACTTAATTAATTAGGATTACTTTTACATAGACTTTGCTTAGACATAGACACATAGACCAAATATTATCTATATATCTGTTATTTTATTTTTAAAATTTTATATTTATAAATAAATATTCATACATATTTCTTAAATATATTTTCATTAGTTTTAATTTTTTTGGTTCCACATTTAGAAGCCTCATTAAAAACCTTTTAATATTCTCTCTGCTCATAAAACTAAAGCCTATCCATTGCTCTCCATATGTTGACCAAAAATTCCCCAGACGGCACAGTGGTTGGGCTTGTATGGAGCCATGATGTTGATGTTTTATCAGTATGAATCATTTACCAAATAACTAGGAAAATTCATATTATAATATTATTATATTATATAAAATTTTATATAAACATATAAATATAGACAACCATTTTCGAAATCTGCCATATAACTTATTCTTGACTTCATCTTAGGGAAATTGGTGGTAAACACAGGACACTATTAATTAACATTTACGAACTAGCATACTCTTTTTATTTTACTAAAATGTTCCGAAAATATTTATATACTTTGTATGTGTAAAGTATAAAAAATAAAGTATATACATAGGTACCTTTATGTAAAATGTTATTTTATAATTTATATTAAATTTATAAATTTTAGTGTGTAACACTACAGTGTAAACAAAATTCAAACAAACAAAGCAGTCTTAAAAAGCAAAGCAAAGCATAAAAAAACGTCTTGAAAGCATCGCAAAGTTTTGACAATCTTGTGAGCGGAACGATTTTCTCAGAAATAGCTCTAAAACAATTTTTTGTTTATTTATTTCCGATAAGACCGATAAGAATTTATTTCTCTTTATAGAAATATTTGCAAATATTTAGGATCGGAAAACTCGAGCTAAGCAAAAAATAACTCATGCGGGGCATCTAATCAATGTAAATTGCTTTGCGCTAATTGAATACATTCCTTTTTTGTTACTTTTCTTCTTCATTTATATTTGCCTTTATATGTTCCTCCATTTTCGCCCCCTCCTTCAGCATATCGTATCTATATCTCGCACTCACACAGCTTATAGTCAATCTATTTGTATACAATGCAAAACTATTCCATATAAACGTAGACGCTACACTACAGTGGGCTAATTTCGAAAGTAATTGAACGAAAAAGAGAGCTTATGTTGAATTTCATGTTGAATTTTATGCAGAAGGTATCTACTAAACATACGTATAGTATAATTACCTATCCTATATATAAATCCATATCTATGTATATAGATATAATTGGATTTAATTTATTTATTAAACAGTATTTTTTTAGACCTATTTAGTTAGAAGTTTTTCGGTTTTTTTTAAACTTTCTTTTTTAAAACAAAGTCTACATTTCAAAACAAAGTCTTATTTTTAGTAATATTTATAGTTTATTTATACTTTAAATATCAAAAAGTCTAATTATAATATTTGAAATAAGATCAATACTGTTTTTGTATTTGAAAACATACCTGGTATTACCCTATGCTTCGATATTTTCTCTAGATACATTTTTCTATTTCGATATTAATTGCTATTCTTATTTTTATTTTATAAAAAGTCCTTATTCATTTGTATTATGATAAGCATTTTTTGTGTGTTGCTCCACTGTACAGTGGATGGTGCCCCGGCAGGGCGATGCAGAATCGTTCCTCGTTCATTCGCTTTCCGTCGGTCATGGGCTGAACACGAAATAATTTCGGTCGCGTTTTTAGCTCGTTTTTTAGCCGAAAAGCCGAAAAGTAAATATTTTGTATCGGTATCTCGTGGTTTGATAGTGCTAAGGCACAAAAAATAATAAAATAACAATGTGGCTCGACGATTGCCATACGGTAGGACTGGCATAACAAATAGAGATAAAAATGAACAATAACAGATCAGTGATATCGTACATTATCTTTTTTCCATCAAGTTACAACAATTGCTGTAAAGCTTGAGATGCAAATTTGGTTTTGTTTACTCAAATATTTCCATCAGAATTTATCTCTTTTTTGAAAACCAAAACATCCTAGGGTTAAGTCAATGTTTATTTATAAATGCCGTCTGTGTATCCACAAGATACTCTTTTGTCGTGCGGGTCTTATCAGATTCCAAAAATAAAAGTCCGAGTGCACTGGAGTCTCCCTAGGAGTATATTTAAGTCTTCAATTTCTCAAAAAGATCTTTTCGAATCCCTTGCAGATGACACGCTACAAGCAGACCGAATTCACGGAAGACGATTCCAGCTCAATTGGCGGAATCCAACTCAACGAGGCGACCGGCCACACTGGCATGCAGATACGCTATCACACCGCACGAGTGAGTATCCAATTTAGGTAGTTGGGTAGCTGGATAACTGAGTATCCCCACCACCCACACGAGACCTCAGAATAAAAAATATAAATAAAAGTTTCTATGGAAAAGATACTGGAGCCTTTGTGGCAATGACCTAAAAAATAAGGCCAGAGCAGACAATTTTCTTATTTGTTCTGAAGGTCATCAGTTGACAGTGAAAAGACTGTCACTGAATGGATGTGGTGGGGTGAATACACTTCCATATGCCAGAGATAAGTAGTCGTGATGGTTAGATCATTTGGATAGGATTACAAATAAATTGAAAAGATTTTAAAGCATATTTAGAAGTCACACTCGAGGTGGGAAAAATGTGTGAAATGTCTTTAGATGCTACTGATTTAGGTATGCGAGATATTTTCCTCTGCATCTTGTACATTGTATCTTTCGCTCTGCCGGCTATGTATCTCTCGGGTTTGAACTCGTTTGAACTGCCGGCAATTGCTTGCGAATTGTTTACACAACACATGCCACTGGGGAAAGATTTATGTTTACTCGGCTGATTGTTAAATAATGGAATAATATTCTTTTTTGTTTGCAGGCCACATGGAACTGGCGTTCAAGGAACAAGACGGAGAAATGGCTGCTCATCACGACCTTTGCTATGGCCATTATGATCTTCACTCTACTGATTGTCCTTTTCGCAGATGGAGGGACTGGGGATCAGAAGAAGCATGTCCTTCATGTGCAGCCACACCAGAAGGGTATTTTCATGAATTTATTACAAAATATTACAAAATATTAACATCTAATATCTATGTTAGAGTGTCCTTCTGGCAACGAGCTTCCCTGCCTCAACGAGCATTGCATTTTCGCCTCCAGTGAGATTCTCAAGTCCATTGATGTCACTGTGGATCCCTGCGATGATTTCTACGGCTATGCTTGGTAACTATTGGCTTAACTATTTTGATTTCTCAGCTAAACTTTGTCCTTAAAGCAATCAGTGGATCAAAAACAATCCCATCCCTGAGGGGAAATCAACTTGGGGAACATTTGGCAAGCTGGAGCAGATGAATCAACTCATAATCCGTAATGTTTTGGAGAAACCGGCCGACAGTTTCAAGTCAGATGCCGAGCGAAAGGCCAAAATCTACTATGAATCCTGCCTGGATGCAGACGAGCATATGGAGAAATTGGGGGCCAAGCCCATGAATGATTTGCTGCTCAAGATTGGAGGCTGGAACGTGACAAAAAGCGGCTACAATATCACCAATTGGTCAATGGGTCAAACCCTCAAGATTTTGCACAATAGGTTAGAATAGGTTTGAGTCTTTAGAATTCACCCCTTTGACCCACTTTTCCTTTATTTCAGATACAATTTCAACTGCCTGTTCAGCTGGGCCATTGGCGAGGACGACAAGAACTCCTCCCGCCACGTTATCCAGATTGACCAGGGAGGCCTGACCCTTCCCACCGCTGACTACTACAACAACAAGACCGAGAACCATCGCAAAGTGCTCAACGAGTACATCGAATACATGACCAAAGTCTGCGTTCTGTTGGGAGCCAACGAAACCGAGGCCCGTGCCCAAATGGTGGGCGTGATCAACTTTGAGAAGAAGCTGGCCAACATCACCATTCCGCAGGAGGATCGCCGAAACGAGGAGGCCATGTACCACTCGATGACGCTGCGGCAGCTGGCCAAGTTGGCTCCGTTCCTCAACTGGACTGCGCACTTCGACGATGCCATGAAAATGGTGGGACAGCGGGTAACCGACGAGGAGGTAGTCGTGGTCTATGCTCCTGATTTCCTAAAGAATCTTTCGGATATTATTCTGAAAATGGAAAAAACCGATGAGGGGAAGATGTAAGTACTTTTTAAACTCATAAATCAGAAAAATTATGGATTTTTAAAAAATTTTTTGAAATAGAGTCAGACCGGGTATTTTATAGTCCAGAATCTCGAATATTTTAAAAACTTTATTTGAAAACTTGTAAAAAGAGTATGTTATGTGGTATGATGTACCTGAGAATCTTGACTGCAAGTACCTGGTATCTTATATAAAATCCCTATTAAGCATTTCATTATTTTTCCAGCACCCTCAACAACTATCTTATTTGGCAGGCGGTTCGAACCCTAACCAGTTGCCTATCGAAACCCTTCCGGGACGCCTACAAGGGAGTGCGAAAGGCCCTCATGGGCTCCGATGGCGGGGAGGAAATCTGGAGATATTGCGTATCCGACACCAACAACGTGGTGGGATTCGCCGTTGGTGCCATCTTTGTGCGTCAGGCTTTTCATGGGGAGTCCAAGCCGGCAGCCGAGCAAATGATTGGTGAAATCCGGGACGCCTTCAAGCGGAACCTCCAGAACCTCACCTGGGTGGACAAACAGACGCGGGAACGGGCCATCGAGAAGGCCAATGAGATCTCCGACATGATTGGCTTTCCCGACTACATCCTTGACCCCACTGAGCTGGATAAGAAGTACGCCGAGCTGAACATCACGGCCAATGCCTATTTCGAGAACAACATCCAGGTGGCGATCTACAACTTGAAGAGCAACCTGAAGCGTCTGGACCAGCCGGTCAACAAGACGAACTGGGGCATGACTCCCCAGACCGTGAATGCCTATTACACGCCGACCAAGAACCAAATAGTGTTTCCCGCTGGTATCCTCCAGACGCCCTTCTTCGACATAAACAACCCCAAGAGCCTGAACTTCGGGGCTATGGGCGTGGTAATGGGCCACGAACTGACACACGCCTTCGACGACCAGGGAAGGGAGTACGACAAGTTCGGAAACATCAACCGCTGGTGGGACGCGAAGAGCATTGAGCGCTTCAACGAGAAGTCCGAGTGCATAGCCCGCCAGTACAGTGGCTACAAGATGAACAAGCGGAACCTGAATGGCAAGCAGACATTGGGTGAGTAAGGGATGATAGCCACCTATCTTGTAAGGACACTATCGCTACTGGACTCAGATCAGTTGTATGAAGTACTACAGTGCGTATGAGAAATAATTATTTATGATATGCAGTGTGGTTACAATTCAAAACATCTCCCTATTCATTGTTCATATACAAAGATCATAAAATTCAATAGAATACTCCCCAAATGATTAAAGTCATCAAGCCAGTACCATGCCCGAGTAAAACCCGCCACTATATGAGTGATTGAATCCAATTCATGACGGCTCACAACAAACTCATTCAAACATATGAGTAGGCAATACAATCTCCGACAATACTAAAATTAGTTGAAAGTTTGGAGTCCTCCCAAATAATTTTATTTGTATTTTTTACTCCAGAGTGGTTGAGTCATACCATATCAAGCTTGTTAGCTCTTTATAGTGTGAGTTATAAAAATTCTTAGTAAGCTCCGTTATCAATATTCCATAATTAACTCTGAAAATTACTCTTATCCAGTGCTGGTACATTTTCAAGATATAATAAAACCTTTTATAGCCTATAGTAAAATATTAAAAGACATAAAAAGTCATTATCTATTTTGTAATAAGTTACTCAAATACCAGCATTAAATAACTTTGTGTTTTTCATACTCGAATATTACGGATGAATTCGAGACCAAGTTTGCTTCAGAACTTATCGTTACAGCTTGTTCATACACTAAGATCATGCCTTTTTAATGGAGTATGTATTAATCAAATAATTTAAAGTCATTGAACCAGTTCTCAAGCAAATGCCTGCCACCATATGAGTGATTGAATCCAATTAATGACGGCTCACAATGAGTTGGTTCGAACACATGATCCGACGTTACAATTCGTCTACTGAAATTATTTGTATTTGAATTTATTTTTAAGAATAATTGAGCTAAACTTAATCATACTCATAAGAATTCTATACCAAAAGTTATGCATATTCTTTATGATAAGTATTCCACATTCCATTATGAGCTTCTGAATATTACTCATACGCAGTGTATAGCTTTTTAAATATGATCCAATTTTTATATTCAGTACAACAGACAACTTCATATTATTCTGTTATTAAAATATTCAAAAAATAGGAGAAAACATAGCAGACAATGGCGGCCTCAAGGCGGCCTATCACGCCTACCTGCGAACCAAGAGCGAGAAGGAGGCGGATATTTTGAAGTTGCCAGGATTGAATCTTACGCACTCGCAGCTATTCTTCGTATCCTTTGCCCAGGTGAGTAAGATGGAGAGGAGGAAGGACCGAAAAAACACACTGAGATATCCTTATTTTAGTGTGTGTTTTCGGAAAAGTTTGAGGTCATTTTAAGAATACTAAAAACTCAATATAAAAAAACGTTAATATTGCTTCGTATTACAGGTCTGGTGTTCCAGCACCACTGAAGAAACGAACCTTCTGCAAATGGAAAAGGACCCCCACTCGCCGTCGCAGTTCCGCGTGATCGGGACACTCTCGAATATGAAGGAGTTCGCTGAGGTCTTTCAGTGCCAGGCCGGGAAGCGAATGAATCCCACCGACAAGTGCGAGGTGTGGTAAAGGGAGATGCCAAGGTCACAAGGTCGAAAGGTCACATGATCTCAACAAGATTTAAAGCCAAAAAGAAACAAAAGAAAGAAGATAAATCTAAAAACCAAAGTGACATCCTGGACTGGAAAACTGTCTTTATCAAGGTCCTGTACATCCCGAATCCGGGATTTTAGTATATTTTTATTTATAAGTTACCTTTTATGTCTTTTTGTATTGTTTTCTCCCCCTTGTTTGGGTATTTTACGGAGATACCAACCGTCAGTCACTGTGCCTATGAAATTTATAGAAACTGACGATAAATTCCAGGCTCAGGCCTAAAGATCCCTGAGCTAAATAGTCATATATAGTCAGAGTCTGACCGATATATATATATATAAATATATACATAGATAACGATAACTGTAACTTAGCTATTTGTAGAACTATTAATGTATATTGTATTATAAAGATACAAACAAAAAGAAAGATAAAGAAATCAGAAACCAAAGAAATCGCGTCCCTATAACTTCGACCCAAGGCCAAATAATGTGATCAGCTGGTTCTGTGCTGTGTTTAAGTTTTTTTTTGTACTTGTATTCCCCACAATTATGATCTATACCGAATTTGTCATGAAACGGAGTCAGAGTCATCCCCAAGCACAAGAAAATTTAAAACAAGAAAGGAAAGCTAACTTCGGGCGGAGCCGAAGTTTATATACCCTTGCAGTTAAAACCGGATATATATCGCAAACATCGGATATAGTTGGCCGATCCTTATGAGAATAGGAATATATAATCCAATTTATTACAATACAAAATCTAAAAAAAATCCCAAACTTCTATCTTCAAAAATACGAAAGTTGATATTTCTACCAAGTACCATTTCCGATCGTTCAGTTATATGGCAGCTATAGGATATAGTCGGCCGATCCTAATGAAATTTGGTAGGTCAGATCAACTGACCAAATATATAATCTGTACCAAGTTCCAGCTTTCTATCTTCAAAAACACGAAAGTTGGGTCATTTCCGATCGTTCAGTTATATGGAAGCTATAGGATATAGTCGGCCGATCCTTACGAAATTTGGCATGTCGCCAAAATTTTGCCAAAAATAGCTCTCATGTCAAATTTGAACTCTCTAACTCTAAAAACACCAAAGTTATACCATTTCCGATCAATCAGTTATATGGCAGCTATAGGATATAGTCGGCCGATCCGGGCCGTTCCGACTTATATACTGCGTGCAAAGGAAAGAAGGGTGTGTGCAAAGTTTCAAGACGATAGCTTTAAAACTGAGAGACTAGTTCGCGTAGAAACAGACAGACAGACGGACAGACAGACGGACAGACAGACGGACAGACGGACAGACGGACAGACGGACAGACGGACATGCTCATATCAACTCAGGAGGTGATCCTGATCAAGAATATATATACTTTATAGGGTCGGAGATGTCTCCTTCACTGCGTTGCACACTTTTGACCAAAATTATAATACCCTCTGCAAGGGTATAAAAATGTAAGTGCCTGACACTGTTGTTCTTTGAAAAGGTTTTCTTTGAGAAATTGAAGACATGGACTTGGGTCTGGGAAGTTTTGGATATGGGACATAGCTAGGCAGTGTGAAAGAGATAGAGACAGCGACTTAGAGTGAGAGGGCGAAAAAAAAAGAGACAGAAGAGCGCGAGCGAGAAAGTGTAATGAATTGAAAAGGCATGTGTTTTTTTTGTTAAATAAGTTTTTGTACCTACCTATATGTTGAGAGGAATATATATATTTTTTAAGCTATTTGTTGTTTTAGTGTTAGTTGAATTTTTGATTTACTGTTGAAGGAACAGCTGGAATGCAAAGCACACCAATAAACAAGTTACTTCTCAAAATGTATCGAGGTTCTAGAAAAATAGTTTTAAATGAGTTTTCTTTTGGAACGAAAGAAAAACATATCAGAGATCCATCAGAGCAAACACCAAATAGGTATATCACGGAACTAGACCCCGTAAAAGTATAACAAAAAGGTGTAATTCAGGCATTTATATATATACCTGTGGAATCTATCTCAAGTCGGAGCACAAACAAAAACAAATAATAATCATAATGTTGTCATACTAAGCCAAAATGGTTATTTGGTTCCTCAACTCTCGACTCCATATTATAAAGTAATACAAAATATACATATATACTTGTACGACTAATGCATTTAACTTTGGTTATCCCTTCGGTTCGGTTCTCTCGAATTCTTCGTTTCGAAAATATCAAGCGAGTCTTTTGTATTCTATGTGTGTACTATATGTATATCTGTAATAGCTGAAGGTAACACGGAAACAAAACAAAATATATTATATATATTAACTAATAATATACAAAACTAACTTATACATTAACTGAATGTTTAAAAACGAGTTATTTTTATTGTCTATGGCAGGAGTGTATGCTTGGATGAGTACATTTCCGACAAATTGAAAATAAAATCAACAATAACTGTGACTTTCAAAGCTATACTTTTTTGGAGGGCTTTTCAATTGTTACTTTACGATGCGGTGGTTTAATATACATATACTAATATACTCATACATATAATATGTTTTCCCAATGGGTATATATTACCAATCAATTCAAGCCTGTGTATTTTTGTTTGAGGAGGGGTGGTATATGTACATATACTAGTCCGTTTGTTTGTCTTCTGAGCTTTTGGATTACTCTTTCAATCCGTAATAAGTAATTTTTGCAGAAAACAATTTATAATAAACTATAACAAGAAAGGAAAGCTAACTTCGGGCGGAGCCGAAGTTTATATACCCTTGCAGTTAAAACCGGATATATATCGCAAACATCGGATATAGTTGGCCGATCCTTATAAGAATATGATAATATAACCCAATTTATTATAATACAAAACCTAAAAATGTCCCAAACTTCTATCTTCAAAAACACGAAAGTTGGGTCATTTCCGATCGTTCAGTTATATGGCAGCTATAGGATATAGTCGGCCGATCCTAATGAAATTTGGTAGGTTGGATCAACTAACCAAAAATAGAATCTGTACTAAATTCCACCGTTCTATCTTCAAAAACAGGAAAGTTGGGTCATTTCCGATCGTTCAGTTATATGGCAGCTATAGGATATAGTCTGCCGATCCTTATGAAATTTGGCATGTCGTAATGTTTTGCCAAAAACTGCTCTCATGTCTAATTTGAACTCTCTAACTTTAAAAACGTCAAAGTTATACCATTTCCGATCAATCAGTTATATGGCAGCTATAGGATATAGTCGGCCGATCCGGGCCGTTCCGACTTATATACTGCGTGCAAAGCAAAGAAGGGTGTGTGCAAAGTTTCAAGTCGATAGCTTCAAAACTGAGAGACTAGTTTGCGTAGAAACAGACAGACGGACAGACGGACATGCTCATATCAACTCAGGAGGTGATCCTGATCAAAAATATATATACTTTATAGGGTCGGAGATGTCTCCTTCACTGCGTTGCACACTTTTGGACAAAATTATAATACCCTCTGCAAGGGTATAAAAACATTGCTTTAAATTTTACAGCCGCTTTTAAGAACAAGTTTAGAAACAAGAAGTAAGAAACCTCTTTACAGTTAAAAAATAAACATAACATAATAGATAACATAAAAAATAACCACCAGCCATCTCTCCTGGGGGAGATTCAGTTATAACATCGAAAATTTTAACCTAGAAACATATGGAAGATTTAGCATGATATTGTCTTGATACTTTCAACATTTCAAGAAAGAATGGATAGATGGATGTTTATTGGAGAAAGCTAATTATTTGATGAGATTAGTGCCTTCCTAGGTAAAGGCACCTACCTAAACCGTCACCTAAAACGGTTTCTCTAAGATATCATAAAAGTCTAGGAAACCATCTATTTTCGAGCTAGCTCAAAGTTTTAGTTTCGATCCAACCTTTGACTTTTTAAGGATCAGCTATCTTTACTCTACTTCTACTGAATAACTAAACTATTAAGATACTTAGCATTCATAACCAATTATTAGGTATGGGTTTATATTAGCCCATAACTAATAATTATAAATAATTTATATTATAATATTATGGGATTATAGTATATTAAAACAAAAACTAGTGTAGTTTCTGGAACTGGAGTATCGGGTAACTCTTATTGCCTCTTTCTTGCGAATCTTTTACAAAAATCTGCACCAATACAATATTTTTTTTACTCACAATTAAACAATTTGATAAACTTTTTCAGTTTCATTAAGTTTTAAACACGCTTTAAACGCATTCCCTAGTTTTGTCCTTAGTGTCCTCAGTATCAAATTCCTTAGTTCAATTTGCCTGGTGCAGCATAATTTAAGTAAATTATTTTCGAAGAAAGTTTAAGCGAAATGTTGTGCAAACCCTTTTAGGAGAAAATCCTTGCCTTTGACAAGCAGCAGCTAACTGGACAAAAAATGCCTGAAATTGAGCCAGAACACGGAGGCTCTTAAAGTTGTCGAACTTTGACTTTATGACAAAGTTCTAATAAACTTTTCGCTGTTGCTTCGCACAGCCCAGCCCCAGCACACCCAGACACACACCAGGAGTGTGTGTATAAAGGCAGGTATATGGGAGAAATGCCAGCAAATTGCTTACATAATAAATAATAATAATAGCGTGCGATTTTTGGCGCAATTTAAATTTATTTATGGCACTTGTTTGTTCGCATGTCATGAGCAAGTTTTGGCCAGACATTTTTGCGCCCACAGAGCATCGACATAAGGACACAGACACACACAGATACAAACACAGACGCATAAAGGGGGTTAATATGAAGGTTGGGGAGGGGAGGTCACAGGTTAGAGACAGAGGTTGTACCTGGTCCTTTTTTCGGCGGATTTGCCTATTTTTATCATTGCGGCTGATCCTGGGATGTTGCCTGGCAACTTGTGCGCCAAAAGCATTTAATCTGCTTAGTGGAAGCGATGTCGACTCATAAATCCTGCTTGTGGCATTGCCGCACAGCCTCCTGGATGTCCTCGACCCGTCTTATCAGTGCGGGGGTCTTTCCCTCCCTCTCCCTCCTCCCACCACTCTAAGGACTCTGGCTATGAAAATGCGAATAAAGTTGAAGATGGGCTGCTTAAATGGCAATTAGGCATAGGAGGCACTTACTGACAGTTTTCCTTCGCTTTTTTTGGCCACAAGATGATGTCATCAGGGTTTCGGGGTTTTCTGGGTTTCAGGGGCTAATTAATGCAATCAAGGCCAAAATGAGAACAAAAACAAGAAAGGAAAGCTAACTTCGGGCGGAGCCGAAGTTTATATACCCTTGCAGTTAAAACCGGATATATATCGCAAACATCGGATATAGTTGGCCGATCCTTATGAATACATCATAAAAAAAATCTAAAAAAAGTCCCAAGCTTCTATCTTCAAAAATAAGAAAGTTGATATTTCTACCAAGTACCATTTCCGATCGTTCAGTTATATGGCATCTATAGGATATAGTCGGCCGATCCTAATGAACGATCCTAATTTGGTAGGTTGGATAA